TCGAGCCACTAAAGGTGGCTTGAACCCTGAGCAAGCCGTGGCTTGGGAGCTGTTTAGCCCCATACAGAGGTTCCTCTTTGTTGCTGTGATAGGTGTCGCCATTGCAGAGTCAAAGAAAAACCGCCACATTATGAAGCTAAAGAAATTTGTGGGACTTATGGTTTGTGATAATTGAACTCTTTGCTACTAAATCTTGTCTCAAGAATTTCAGACATCCAATTGTAAAGTTTTTATTGACGAGGGAAGGGGAATTGAACTCGATCAGGTTCAAGGAAGTGATCACACTGACTTCATTAATTGGCCGTTTGCACAGACTATAATCATTGATGTATTCATATAAACTTTTGATTCCATTGATATTACTGTTACGTGAAAACTAAATAAAAACTCATTTTCAAAATGGGTGAATGATGCTGGTAACATGGTGGAATTGTGCCTTCGGAATTTTCATGATTTTGAAGTTGCCTCGATTGGACAAGCAGAGCATAAATACCATCAAATATATACTGCTGAGTGCATGGTGAAAGTGATGCAACCGGTTCGCAGTCTCCCTTCGTCATGCCCTCCCTCTCACCTCCCATCTCTATCTAGTTCGCAGTCCCCCTAAATTGATTCTGAGAGAGAGAGAGAGAGAGGGCGGCAACAAGTGGTAGAGGCATTGCAAACCTTGGGTACAGTCGTCTTCTTTCTTTTTCTTAAAATTTTGTTCTAAAGGGTAAAATTGAAACCCAATGTCTAGCTGGAAAAAAAATTTAAATTTTCTTTTTAAAAGACATGCGGCAATATCTGGGTGGAAACATACCATTCTATAATACTAGACCTTGATCAAGGGGGCAAAGTGAGCTACTATAATTTCTGGGAGGCAATATAAGATTTGACCATAATTTAATAAATGCTCGTTTGGAGTGATTTTGGATAGGTCAATAATCACTTGTATGAAGAATCACTTTAAGTGGTTTTAACTGAATTTATGGAGGGTTTGGAGTTAGATGTTGCTTTTGCTGTATCTGACTGTTTTCGTGTCATTTTTAACCAAATTGTTTTTCACTTGCCATGCACTCTCCATTTCATTTAAGAGATGTAATATCTGTTATCATACGGGGGTATATGCTTGTTATTTCATGACGGGTGCGCTCAGGAGCTTGGCAATGAAGGTTTCTCTTTGAGAAAACAGGTCTTTTTCATATCATTCAGTTTTAAGAGATGAAGAGTAGTGTTACTTGTCATTATCATATGGATCTCTATATTTGCTCCACGGCTATCTTTGTGTTGAAAAGTAAATTGCTTACTAATTTCTTGCTAGTAAATGATTTACTTATTAGATTTATCTCTTGTCATATTGTGTAACTGCTTTATGTTGCGATAGCTCGAGCTTATATGCCAAGTGTAGGGTCTTAGATCAGTTTTCATTTTCAATGGCTCACATGCCTTGTAGTGCCATGTGTCATAATCACAACGGCTCATGTATTTGAATGGTTGTGATGACTGATGTAAGAGAATGAATTATATGAATGAAATGCATCATTATGCAATGTAGAGAATGTTGCAGTGAATATTCCCTTTCTCTCTCTAGTTCTTCTCTCTTCCTTTCATTCCTCTACTCCCTTCGTAATCCAAAAGAGATCATCAATGAAAGACCATACAAACTTTAACATGGTATCACGAGCCCAGTTTCTATCTGGAATCGGGACGTCGGATCTGTGAGTACTGTGCTTGGAAATCCAACGTGTAATTTCTGACTCAGTTCGTCAATTCAGGTCTCAAATGGCTGGGTCAGGTGGTAGTGATCTTCGGGCTCTAATAGTCAATGGTGACAACTATGAATTTTGGAAGATCCGAATGAGAACTATTTTCAAATCACATGGAATCTGGGATCTAGTTGAAAAGGGTCTTGAAATTCCAGAATTGAAAGGGAAGAAGGTTGATGCGGAAGGGTCATTGGAATCAGAGAAAGTATCTCTGCTAATGAAGGATGCTAAGGCAATGGGTATTATCCAAGGAGCTGTCTCGGATGACATTTTCCCCAGAATCTCGAACGAGGAGACCTCAAAGGGTGCTTGGGACATTCTACACCAAGAATTTCATGGCGATAAGTAAGTGAGATCCATCAAGTTGCAAGGTCTACGTCATGATTTCGAGTACACAAGGATGAGGGATGATGAAACCTTGTCTGTGTATCTCACTCGTCTTCTCGAGTTGGTGAATTGAAGGGTTATGGGGAAGAATTACCCAGAGCACGTTTGGTTCAGAAATTTCTCATAAGCTTGACCAAAGAATTTGATCATGTTTGCTATGTGATCGAGCAAACTAAGGACATTTAAACTATTGAGGTGCAAGAGGTTATTGCTTCATTAAGGGGATTTGCACAGCGCTTTTATAGGCATGTTGAGAGTACCACTGAGAGAGCTTTCAGTAGTATGAATATGAATCCAAAGGGAACTCAGTCAAATCCAAAGAAGAACTGGAAATCGAAGGGAAAGAAATGGGATCCTAAGCCTCAGAACTCTGTCAATCAAGGTGAAAAAAATGATCAAGAGAGAAAATCTGATCAGGCTAAGGGAAAATGCAAACATTGTGATAAACTACACTATGGTGAGTGTTGGTTTAAAGGGAAGCCAAAATGTCATGGTTGCAATCGATTTGGTCATTTCATTAAGGATTGTGATCAACCAAACAAGGCTGGAAAACTTGTAAACTTTGCTAATCAGGTAACAGAACTTGCAACCATATTTTATGCTTGTCACTCTGCTACTATTGGAAGGAATATGAACATATGGTATGTAGACAATGCATGTAGTAGTAATCACATGACCTCTCATGAATCTTTGCTTATTGATGTTGATAAAAATGTGAAGTGTAGAGTTAAAATGGGCACTGGAGATTTAGTGCAGTCAATAGGCAAAGGTACCTTGGTTATAGAAATAAAGGGTGTGACTAGATACATTAAAGAGGTTATGATTGTACCTAGATTGGATGAGAATTTCTTGAGCGTAGGGTAGATGGTTGAACATGGATATTGGCTTGTGTTTGGTAATTACATGGTTGATATATGGAGATAGACAGATGGAATATCTGATTGCAAGTGTTCC